TCACGGACTCAGGCCCTAACTCAAGGAATTTACATTGCATTAGGGCTCACACTATGTGCTACCATTTCGGTAACTCCCCCATCAGCAAAATGAAGGTGGCCACGCCCCTCTTTAATGGTGGCATCTTTTTTTCCTAGAGACATTTACTTGACAAAAGTTAGAGGGTGCCATTTATAAGGCACCAAGTCCCACAGTCAGGCCACAAATCACAAGGGCTGACTATGTAACTCACAATTTAGTGATTTACAGCTAAAAAAAAAAATCACTTATTTATAAATAATAGTCTTTCTGGAAAAAGCAAGTATTGCCCTAAGTCTTCCAACAAAATTAAAATGCAAACTATGGACTATGAAAGTCACTGCAGAAATCTCAATGCTAATGCTAAGCCACCACGACGCCCTCCTGCAAGCATTATAGCACCCTGTGTTGAAAACGAGAAATACTTCTTTGGGTGTTTTTGGACAACAGCACCGTAGAGCTTAAGTTAGTGCTTCCCAGAGTGATTTTTTTCAAAGCAAAACAAAACAAAAAACACAAAAACCCCTTCTTTTAACAACCTCTCCACACTTCAAAAACCATAATCACTCAAATATTCACAGTAACCACTTGGCACCCGAACTCAGCTGGCCGGGAGGGACGACTTCCGGCAAGATCTACGACAACGGCAGTTGTGATTAAGGCTGCAAGGGCTGATTTTGTTTTCTTTGCTCTTAGAAGTAATTCCCATATTTATACTATTAGTCAAAATGTAGCGGCTTAATTCTCTCATTATTTTTAATCTAACTGGAAAATCAATTGTCTCTGGTCGTTGGTGGTTATGGGTTTATTTGCTGAAAGCCGAACAATGAGCAACTGGAAACAGGAGAGGGGCTCAACTAGCATTCTTTCATTAATTTAACAACTTTCTTCATTAATTGACCTAAGCAACATTCATTTAACATGTACCATCTACAAAGGACACAGAAAGCAGTAATAAGCAATTAGGTCTCTTGAGGAATTTACCCTCTAACGGGAGGGTGAGCAAAATTACTTGCTTTGACTTTGAAAGAAAGACAATACAGAGTTCCTCAGAGCCTAATCACGTGCCATAAACTGGGTGTACAGAGCCAAGAGTTAGCTCAGCCATCAAGGATACCCAGCTGACATCCTCTTCCTCCTCACAGTCAACCGCCCCACCCCCCAGAACTTCTTCCCTTCAGTTAGAAAGCACACAGATCGCTCTATATCTGACCCCAGCCATAAACCAAAGACTATAAATCGGCACGTTTTGGTGTGGTGGTAAATCTCTCACGTTCAACTAGTCAAAGTTATCGTATCTCCGGATAACGCTGAATCCAAGGACAGAAACAGAAAAATTCTACTGAGAGTTTCTACCACCATTCACCCGGTGTCTGAGGCCTGCCCACCTCAGCCCTCTAGTCTCTTCAGAGGCAATGAATCCATCAGACCTTTTCCTCCTATGTCGAATGTAGCCGTTTTTTTTTTTTTAAGCACCACACCATTTGGCCATGATCTATGAGCCACCATAAACACCAACTGGTGTGGTCAAAGGGTATCCATGGTGGGCCAAATAAGAGGCGAGGGAGGAAGCAGACCTGCAAAATAACAGTTGACCCACTGGAGGGTGGCGGAGGGGAGCAAGGAATCATGGACTGGGAGATTGCCCCAGGATTGGTGATGGGGGGCGGGTGGGAGGGCAAAGTCAAGCCGGTTACAGTAAAACTGTAATCTATTCAGGAATGAGACAGAGCCCTTAACTCCTCCCCACACAGAACTTCTAACGTGCGCAAGACTACACTGAATTTCCAAGTTCTACCTGGCCCCGCACTTCTGATTGGTGGGGTCACTGGTAGGCCTTGAGCCTACATGTACCTAAGAATCATAAAAAGGGAAGAGGAGCCTTTGAATACCAATAAAGACAGGTCGATTGGCCTGAAAAATCAACACTGGGCCTTAAAGAGGTTCTACACCCGAACACCTCTGAGCATGTCCAGGTACCCAGCCGTCTACAGGAGCGACACAGGACACGGGCTCTCGAGTCCACCTATCTGGCTTCAAATCCTGGCCACTTTTAACAGCAATGGCATCTCTCCACTTCCTCATCTGTGACTGCAAGATAACACTAGCATCTGCCTCATAGGACTAATGAGAGAAGAGGAGGTCACAGTTAAGGAGCTTAGCACAGTGAATGTCACACAATAAACACTGAATACATCCGTGCTAGCACATCCACTAGTGCCAGCGGTAACGTGAACTATCCCTCAGTTCCCGAACTGGAATGACACCACCACAACCACGACCATTGGCTGGGCCCTAATTACGGACCCCTGACTACCCCCTATGAGTTGGTTACTTCTAACCATTTTAGAATTGGAAATGGGGGTTTAGAGGAGCCCACAAACTCACCTAAGCTTACTCAGTCAGTAAGTGGTGGGCGATAAAAGCTCTGATCTTGTCCCAGGAAAGTCTGCATTATGTCATCTACCCCCAAAAAGTCAAAAGTATTTTAATACTTCCAAAATCACTACGTATTGAACAAAATTAAGTTCTTGTAAAAGCCTCCAGCTTCTCCCCGCAAATATGCGTATTCATCTAAACAATCAGAAATACTTCACAGATTCTGATAGACTGTCACAATTTTTCTTAACATAAATAGAACTGGGTAACTCACCACGGCCATTTTAATTAAATGACTTTAAAGGTTCAAAAGTACTGCATACCCACAGTTTATCAAGTCACTTTTCTTTCAGGATTTGTCATGTGATTCGGTAGAAAAACGGGGCGCACTCCAAATGGCCTGTGTAACATCTCTTTTTCTGTAAGTTTGGTACGTGTCTAACAAAATTGACTAGGGTTCACAGTTGCTCCAAATATCCTCTCCCACCATCTCTTACACAATTTAAGAAGACCACAGTCACTTCGTTGCCCTAAAAGAAAATAATCGAATTTAAACTGAGTATTGTCAGTATTGACTCTGATCTCATAGAATCTTTTAAAACTCCCAGTGAGATCCAGAAATATTTATAACCCAAATTTATACTGCCAAATACTTAAAAGATCTAACCGCTTCAAAGAAAACCAGAATAATAACAAGTCATCTTAGTCAAAACTGTTTATCCACATCAAATGAATTGGTTATTGGTTACCCAGTTTCCTGAAAACAGAGTTCATAATAATTGTTAATCCATTAACAGTTTAAAATAAATGGCATGCTTAACTTGTTTAAGAAGTAGTGACATGGATAAGCAAGTTATTTCTTACTTCACCTTCTGTTTGCTTTACGTGGGTGTTACATATTCGTATCATCTTTGCTGGTAAATACGAATGAGACTATATAATAGAAGATGCAAAAGGAAAGAGAGGCTCCAAAATGCGGAAGTATTTCAAGAATTTGCCGCAATTTCAAGAGCCTGAAACTCCATGCATCAGAAAGCAGAATTACCACAGAACTGTAAAAGCCAAATATTTATACAGGTGCCTTAAAAGTCACTGCTGGGTGCACATCATCATCACTGACATTTACTATCTGTTAAATAGTTTCAAGTGCAAGGGCAGAAGTCAAATAACTGACCGGAGCAGGAAGTTTATGACAACAACTAATATGTCTGGAGAAACTGTGAAGGTGTGATGCTTGTCATAACTTTTTATCAGGCCAGCAACAGGCGGCCAGGCTGAGGAAAGCCAGAACCTCCGCACAAGTGCCTTTTCTCCTTGCGGAAGGGAAACCTACACTGATACCTTCATGGATAATTTAATAAGGACTGTCCATAAATTTATAATGTCATTTATGACTTTTTTACCATTACTCTTTAAGGGCTTTCAAAAACAATATTCTTAAAAGTTAACTGAGAACATAAAGTATGAAATTATTTCAGCTTCAAATTGAGAAAAGGGGCAATGTTTAATAGAAGCACCTAAAAAAAAAAAAAAGGTTATAAACCCCTAATATACAGTTAGGAACACCTCCTTAATGGCCAATTTACAAATTTACAGTCAGGACTATCTCCTATTATTCTTATAATAAATCTCACTGTAAGAAATTTTCCTTTGAAGGGAAATAAGAAAGATGGGATAAAGAGCCAACATTTCTGAACATTCAGCAAAACTTCGGCTCCGGAACGTCTTAGACGATGATTTGGCCATGCTTTTCCTCTACCTCCGAGCAGGACTATAAAGTGTGTGTTGAAAACTACAAGAAATCATGCGGAGTTCAAGTCTGGTTCAATGTTCATTGCACTTCTTTCTTCCAAACACAGTCTGCCTTTCCAAGATGCGGGGGCTCGGGTCAAGGTCTCAGGTGAGGGCAGTACGCAGTAAAAACCACCCACCCACCAAAGGTGTCTGTAAACTCTGAGGGGCAGAGCTAATTAATTACACCCAGAGCCAGGGCTCGGCGAAGAAGGGTGCCTGGAGCCCCCCTCCACGCCCAGGACCTCCGGCCTGAGCGGTGGCGCGCCCTCAAGAGCTGGCAGTCCAGGCTGGGAGCCAAGGACACCCAAGAGAGATGGATGCCACAGGTGGCTTGGTCGGCTGGGCCCCCACCTTGCACCCAGGCCTGCGGGGGGCTCCCGGCCCGTCCCAGTCTCCCGAAGGCCGAAGATACTCTCCAGCCCTAATCTGGCCCACTGGAGGCAGAGGCGAGCTCGCCACGGGGTTCGGTTCCCCCTCGGGGTCCGTTAGCCGGACAGGGAGTGCCAGCCCGAAGCGCCAGTTCCACCCTCGCCTCCCGGCCGGGAGTGTCTAAAGGTCCCAGGGGGCGTCGGGAAGGGAGCGGGCCAGGAGGCCCTGGAAGGGGCGGCTCCAACTGGCCCCCTCCGGGACTCCTCGCCCGCTGAAGGTCCCGCGCCTCCCTCCCGAGACCCCTCCCGGCACCCCGCGGCCGGCAACGCCCCACGCCCCCCGCGCCGCGGGCGCCGCCGACCGGCCGGATCTCCCGGACAACAGCCGCCGCCGCGCTCCTGAGGCGGGTCCCCGCGCCCACCCGCGGCCCGGCCGCCCACCTGTCCCGGGGGTCGATCCAGCTGGTCCTCCTGGTGTTGTGGTCGATGTAGAAGACCTTGCCGTCGTAGTCCCTGGCCTCCTCCCAGCCCCGGGGTAGCGGCAGCTGCCCGCTCCCGGCCCTCCTAGGCATGGTCGGCGGCCTCGCCGGCGAGCGGCGCCTCCATAGGGACCGGGCGCGGGACGCGGCGGGAACGCGAATGCCCGGCCCGGCCGCCGCACCCGACGCGGGCGCCGGCGGGGGGCTGCGGGGCGCGGGGCGCGGCGGGGCCACGCGCGGGGGACGCCTCAGGAAGCCCTGCTCTCGGCCCCGCCGGGGATCAGTCCACCATGTCTGCGTCGGAGCCGGCGAGCGAACCCTCCTCCTCCTCCTCCTCCTCCTCCTCGCGGCTGCAGCCGCTGCCTCCGCCTCTTCCTCCTCCTCCTCCCAGTCCCCCTGTGGCCGCCGAGGGTCGCGGCGCCCAGGCTGCCCAAGCCGCCGCCGTCTGGGCTCGGATCCGGGAAGCTCGGCGGCGCGGCGGCCGCGGCGGCGACGGGCCTCCTCATTTGCATGCTATTAGCATGCGCCCCGCCCCCGCCCGCCCCTCCCCGCGCTGGGCTCATCTGCATGCACATTCCTCGCCGCCACATTCCAGGGCTTAACCCTGCAGCTCCCGGGGCCTGCTGCCCGACCCGGGGCGCTGGGCCGAGCCCGGGGCGGGGGCGGAGGGGGGGGCTGGGGGACCAGGTGGGAGGGAAGAGGGCGAAGGAATGCGCCCTTCGCCCCCTCCCCTTGACCCCAAATATCTCCCTGCGGCCAAAGGCCTTGGGTTTTGTAGAGTTTCGGAACTGGAAGGAGCCGGAGAGCGCTCCGCAACCTTCGCAACTTCTTTCCGACTTCTAGGGAAACCACAAGACTTTCGAGAGGAAAGGGGTGGGGGAAGCGCTCCTCGGCGGAAAAAGTCCCAGCAACCAGCGAGGGTACAAAGGCTCCCCCACGCCGCTCCTTCGGAACCCGAGGGCGGTTCGGAGTGGTGGAAAAGGGGGAAATGCCCCGAAAGCGCTTCGAAGCGTGTCGGTGGCGTGTCCGGGGCGGCGTCGCCCCTGCGGCCTCTGCAGGGCGCCTGGCCCTCCATGACCTCAGCCCAGAGGCCACGGGCCGCGCTGCGGAAAGCGAAGGCGGGTCCAGCGGTCCCGGAGCGCTGCGACACGCCTGCCCCTGTGGCCTGCGGGGGAAACTCCAGCCCGACCCTGCGAAGCGACTGCCTCCCACCCCCACGCGGGCCAGGGACCAGAAGGCACCCTAGCCTTCAGCCGGGTCGGGCCTATCTACCCGCAGGGGCCAGGCCAGCCACCGGGACCCTCTGCCGCTGGCCTCCGCTGCAGAGGGAACCAGTCCCCCACCCGAACCCCCTGTGGCCAAGAAGGTGTGGGCCACCACGCTGGAGGGAGCCCACTGCGGCCCGGAGGCCAGGCTTTCCCAGGCCCTGGATGCATCCTAGGTGGAAGGCGGATCCTCTCTTACTTACCCCACAAGCATTTCTCTATTCATCCCCTCCTGATTCCTGGTGGGCACTGAACAGGGGCTGCACCTTGGGCTCCAGGTAAGGCAGTGCCAGGAGCCGAAGGACTGGCAGCCCTGGCGCAGGACGTTCAGCCCCCAGCCCCTGGGGGTCTCCCAGGCCCAAAACTATTCTCCAGCTGGGTCTACACCATCCCCCATTCATATTCTTCGGGTGACTAACGGCTTCTTATAAAGTATGGGGCACCTGGGTGGCTCGGTCTGTTAAGCATCCAGCTCTGGCTGAAGGATCTCATGGTTGGAGGGCTCCAACGCTGTGCTGACACCTGGGAGCCTGGAGCCTGCTTTGGTTCCTGTGTCCCCCGCCACCACCCCCCACCACCGCCCCTCCCCACTCTCTCTTTGGCTATCTCTCTTTCTCAAAAGAAAATTAAAACATTAAAAATAAATTTTAAATAAAACACCCTGAAAAAGGTCCCCGGAGCTCTTGGTGTGAATTCACTGAATCTCACTGGGTTAATGCGGAATGACTTCCCCACCTTGTGCGGGACACAGTGGAGTCAGATAGGGGCTTTCAGAGGGTTTGGAGCAACGTCTCTCTCCTGGATTCACAGACCAGTAACGGAGTCAAGTGACCTAGGATTCACAAGGGTGCACGGCACCGTGGTTTCAGGGAGCAGCTGCCCCAGGGATGTGGTCGGCTTTCGAATTCCCAGGGAGTTGGCCCATCTGCAGTCAGTCCTGAAGGTGGAGGAGTGAGGTCCTGAAAAGTAAAGGACAGAGAGCCCGGCTTGGAACAGCTTCAAGGCAGCGACCGGACTTGCCTTCTTCCCCAGGAGTTGTAGAAAGAGTTATATTTGCACTTGGAGTAGAAACTAAACCACCAGAAACTCTGGAGAGCAGGAGGTGAGGAAGGGAGTCATCCAACGAATCTAATCCCTGTGTCCTTCCAGGTCTTCCAAAGAGAAGCCCCCAACTCCTGGTCCCTTGATCTGCCCCCGCGGCACTGATCAAGACATGGTCACACAAGGCAAGCTTCTCTAGTTCCTCGTGAGATGTGACATCCTGGTGGGTAATTTTAAATTAGGACCTCTGAATGGTATGAAAAAAATGAGGCCTGGCTAACACTAATTTCTCACACTACTAAGGTATGAGAAGGTGAAGGAGCTTTGTTTTGGACGGCTCTGAACTGGCTCACTGACTAGCATGGCCAAAATTTGTGTTCTAGTATGCTAATAACATCATTCAGCAACCCAGCCAAACAATTCTTCTTGTTTCAGCCTTCCTTCCGGCCTCCCGCACCTACCCATTAGAAAACACGTATTATACTAAAATGTCTGCATCCTGCTATAAAAAAAAAAAAGATACCTTTGCTGTTGCCACATTTTGTTTCATTGAATTTGTACCAATGAATAACTGCAAAATACTCCTGTGTACAATTTCAAATTTGATAGGCTTTCAGATAAATATTTTTTAATGTTTATTTACTTTTGAGAGAGAGAAAGAAAGCATAAGTGGGAAAGGGGCAGAGAAAGAGGGAGGGAGGGAGGGAAGGAGACACAGAATCTGAAGCAGGCTCCAGGCTCCAAGCTGTCAGCACAGAGCCCAATGCAGAGCCTGAACCCACAAACTGTGAGATCTTGACCTGAGCTGAAGTCGGCCGCTTAACCCACTGAGCCACCCAGGTGCCCCTCAGATAAATATTTTTACCCAAACTTCTAAAACCAATGAGGATACCAAAATAGCACCCTGTGGTAAGACTGCATTTATTGTTCCATACATTGTGGGACTTCAAAAAGGTGCATTAAGTACATAAACAAAACTCTAAAGCAGTTAAGAGACAAGCTCCCTCCTTCTCCCCCACTTGTAGGCTCAGGAAACATTTGGTCACACAAAAGCAGTTAAGGTGACAAGTAAATCACTGCCCTATAGCTTTTTTGTCTTGATCAAGTTTGAACTCTGCTGTTCTGAGTTCACACAATTGCACAGTACCGTCCTTCCGGAGAATTCCTAACAGCGAAGACAATGAAATTTTATTTCATCTATATTCATACCTATAAAAAAGAAATAATGAATATCTCTGTTTCATAAATACATACATTTAGATTTCATTTGGGCTCCAGGTGATCACTGACAGAGAGTACCAAGTTCCCTCGGTGTAAGAAACTCTACACTAGCCACTGAGGAGTCTGTTTTCTGGCCCTCATTTCCCTTCTCTATCTGGCTTAACACCTTCCTGGTACTAATAGTCTGAGGGGAGAAGCTGCCACTAAACAAAATCCCCAAGGTCAATGTCTAAATCTGGGGGGGGGGGGGGGGGGCAGGAAGATTAGTGATATCTAAAATGAAAGTAGACCAGATGGCCAACAGACACATGAAACAATGTTCAGTGTCCCTCATCATCAGGGAAATACAAATCAAAATCACACTGAGATACCACCTCATGCTGGTCAGAGTGGCTAAAATGAACAAATCAGGAGACTATAGATGCTGGCAAGGATGTGGAGAAATGGGCACCCTCCTATATTGTTGGTGGGAATGTAAGCTGGTGCAACGCCTCTGGAAAACAGTGTGGAGGTTCCTCAAAACATTAACAGTAGAACTCCCCTATGACCCAGCAATAGCACTGCTAGGAATTTACCCAAGGGATACAGGAGTGCTGATGCATAGGAGCACATGTACCCCACTGTTCATAGCAGCACTCTCCACAATAGCCAAATCATGGGAAGAGTCCAAGTGTCCATCAACTGATGAATGGATAAAGGAGATGTGGTTTATATATACAATGGAATACTACTTGGCAAAGAGAAGGAATGAAATCTGGCCATTTATAGCAACATGGATGGACCTGGAGGGTATTATGCTGAGCAAAATAAGTCAGGCAGAATAGGCCAGATGCTCTATGTTTTCACTCATATGTGGATCTTGAGAAACTGAACAGAAGACCATGGGGGAGGGGAAGGGGAAAAAATAGATACAAACAGAGAGAGAGGGAGGCAAACCATAAGAGACTCTTAAATACAGAGAACAAACAAGGTTGATTGGGGAGCGGGGGAGAGAGGTAAGTGGGTGCTGAGCATTGAGGAGGGCACTTGTTGGGATGAGCACTGGGTGTTGTATGTAAGCGATGAATCATAGGAATCTATCCCCAAAACCAAGAATACACTGTACACACTATGTTAGCCAATTTGACAATAAATTATATTAAAAAATAAATAAAAACTAAAAATTTTAAAATTAAATCAAAAAAAGAAAGTAGAAGGTGCCAATTATGTGAATCCAAGTTTTAAAAGTATATACTAATAAATATACATATGTATAAATATAAAAAACATAAAAGATAAAAGATTTAAAAAATGAAATATACAAGTATAAATATATATAATGTATAAAATATGTTTTAAAGTATTTTAGTCTAGCAATCCCAGTGCTGGCATTTTACCTATGGATATTAAAGCCCCTCAAGATATGCAAGGATGTTCATTGCAGTGTGTTTGATGATCACAAAACCACCAGTGTCCGTGAGTAGGAGACTTATTCAATAACTTTTTAAAAAAATTTTTTAATGTTTTATTTATTTCTAAGAGAGAGAGAGAGAGAGAGACAGCGTGAGCAGGGGAGGATCAGAGAGAGAGGGAGTCACAGACTCTGAAACAGGCTCCAGGCTCTGAGCTGGCAGTCAGCACAGAGCCTGACGCAGGGCTCAAACCCACGAACCGTGAGATCATGACCTAAGCGAAAGTCAGACGCTTAACCGACTAAGCCACCCAGGCGCCCCTCAATAACTTTTCGACACCCATACTCAGCAACCATTAAAAGTGTTGGCTCGGTCAGTAGAGCATGCGA